GATCCTTAAACTATGGCAGAAGGAAAAGGTGAGGGTTTAGGGTTTAGGGTTTAGGGTTTAGGGTTTAGGGGTCGAGGTCAAGTCTGTTCGTTTATAAAGGGTGCACAGACAGATGCTGTTCTAGGGTCTAGGGTTTAGGGTTTAGGGTTTAGGGTTTAGCAGCAGGCAGTAAGGCTTTGAGGGTCGTTGGTTCGGCTTTGGCTGCCGGTGCTGCTGCTGCGGCTGCTGCTGCTGCTGATGCTGCTGCTGCTGCTGCTGCTGCTGCTTGAATGTGCTGCAGCAGCAAGCAGAGGGAGGGTCTGCTGCTGGCGCAGCAGCAGCACCTCAGGCGAAGGCACCAGCAGCAGCAGCAGCAGCAGCAGCAGCAGCAGCAACAAGCACGGATTCGCTGTTAGAAGGTTTGCTGCTAGCAGGATCTGAGGCGGAGCAGCGCCGGCAGCGGCAGCAGCAACAGCAACAACAACAGCAGCAACAACAGCAGCAGCAGCAGCAACAGCAGCAGCAGAAGCAACAGCAGCAGAAGCAGGAGGAGCCGCGCAGCGAAGACGTTCCCAGTGCAGCAGCAGCAGCAGCAGCAGCACCAGCAGCAGCAGCAGCAGCAAAGCCCCCGCTGGGCGTATCAGCGCCTGCCTTGTGCGAGCCTGCATCAGCAGCAACCATGAGCAGCAACAGCAGCAGCAATAGCAGCAGCAGCAGCAGCAGCAGCAGCAGCAGCGAGGAGTCTCAGGCCCTCAACAGCAGCATAGACTCGCTGCTGCAGCTAGGCAAAGCAATAGAGCTGACGCGGGAGCAGCAGATGGCGCAGCTAGCTGGCGACTACTCACCAACAGCAGACGCAGAGCCTGCTGCTGAGCCTGCTGCTGCTGCAGCAGCAGCAGCAGCAGCAGCAGCAGGAACAGCAGCAGCAACTCCTGCTGCGGCGGCTGCGGCAGCAAAAGGCGATCCCAACGATCCCCAAGAGGGACCGCTTACTCATAAGTGTAAGCCGAATATGCAAACCCTAAACCCTAAACCCTAAACCCTAAACCCTAAACCCTAATTCTATAAAGAGGGAGTGTATTGATCGCCTTGATAGTAAACCCTAAACCCTAACCACCAGTATCTCATGCAGGTGTTAACCTCTTCTAACGTCTCGCAAATATAAATAAGGGTTTAGGGTTTAGCTTCTAGGGTTTAGGGTTTAGGGTTTAGGGTTTAGGGTTTGTGTGCAGCTGACAAACACCTCCGCTTCGCCGNTCTAGGGTTTAGGGTTTAGGGTTTAGGGTTTAGGGTTTGTGTGCAGCTGACAAACACCTCCGCTTCGCCGAGGATAGGGGGCTCGTCTCTGGCGTGGTGTATGACTCTCTAGACCCCCCAAGCAGCATCCGCGTAAACCCTAAACCCTAAACCCTAAACCCTAAACCCTTGCGCTGTAGACGCTCCCCACACCAGCTGAGTAAACCCTAAACCCTGCAGGCACCAAGAGAGTAAACCCTAAACCCTAAACCCTAATTTGTGTGGAGGATCAGAGCTAAACCCTTTTCTAGGGTTTGCGATATTCGTAGCCAAACCCTAAACCCTCAAGGGTTTTACTTCTGTCTCTATTTGCTGCTGCAGGAGGCGCAGCACTGCGGCAGCGATGGTCTCCGTGCAGCAGCAGCAGCAACAGCAGCAACAGCAGCAGCAGCAGCAGCAGCAGCAGGAGACAAAGGAGACAGCTTCGCTCTCCGCCGCAAAAGACACGAGGCAAACGAAACCCCAGTACGTAAACCCTAAACCCTAAACCCTAAACCCTAAACCCTTTTCTTTTGCTGTTCAGTGCAAACCCTAGACAAACAATTCCTCCCAAACCCTAAACCCTAAACCCTAAACCCTAAACCCTTGCTTTTCTCTGCAGCGGGCGCGCGCGCTCTGGTGGGAGCCCCAGCCCTCGGGGCCCTTCGTACCCCCAACCCGTAAGGCTTTTGCTGCTGTTGCTGCTGCTGCTGCTGCTGCTGCTGTTGCTGCTGCTACAGTTGCTGCTTCTGGTGCTGCAGCTGTTGCTGCTGCTGCAGCAGGTGTTGCTGCTGCTGCTGCTGCATGTTTTGTATACTGAGGAGCACCCCTGGTGTGAGTTGCACTGCGTGTTGCTGTTGCTGCTGCTGTGTTTGCTGCTGCTGCTGCTGCTGCTGCTGCTGCAGGTATTGTGTCTTCGTTACTGAAGCTAGAACATGTGCTGCNGCTGCTGCTGCTGCTGCTGCTGCTGCTGCAGGTATTGTGTCTTCGTTACTGAAGCTAGAACATGTGCTGCGGCTCCCAGCAGCAGCAGCAACAGCAGCAGCAGCAGCAGCAGCAGCAACAGCAGCAGCAGAGACATGGCCTGCCCCTTCCAGGGTCTATCCTGCGGCGCCCCCCTTTAGTGCTGCTGATATGAGGATAATACACCCCCTAGCGGAGCCGCCTGCTGCTGCTGCTGCTGCTGTTGC